AATATAAATAAGGAAGGAAGAGTCAATATTTTATTTTTTTTTAAAAAGTCCCGGCAATGAGTTCTGCTGTTTAGTTCCAGAGAATATCGAACAGCTCTCTTCTGGAGCCTGAAAATGCGATCAAATTGAGTCGCACAACACGTACCGACTCAAAAAGTGCATAATAAACAGTTCTAGCCACTGACAAGTTAAGCTCCTTAGAAACAGACCTTAATGCAAAACAGGCAGAGCTCAATTTTTTCGACAAAGCTTCGATATGTATGTCCCATTTCAGAAAATTGTCCACAACAAGCCCTAAGAATTTTACAGATTTGACGACGTCAATGGTGGTGTTGTTAAGTACAAAAGGCTGCTACGAGTTTTTATACGACAAAGCTTTAGTTTTTGAAATGTTGAGACTCAGGAGGTTCGAATCGCACAAAGATTTAATGGTGATTAAGTTATTTGATATAATCCTATAAGGTGCCGTGATGTCCTTGCTGCTCCAAATGAAGCTAGTGTCGTCCGCAAAAAGACATATTTTGCCACTGATGTTTATGTTCATTGCTAAAACTGTCCTGATGATGGGAATAAAATTCTCGAAAGCTTGACAAATTTGAAAAAGTAGTTTTATTAGCCTATGTGGTGATTATTGACTGCATCCTCACTTAAATTTTGAGTTTTTTTATAGGATACTATATATAACTAAAGAATATTAATATTAACTTATATAATATTTCTATTTATGTAAGCTGAGAAAAAGGATTTAATAAATAAAAATTAAATTAAAAATATTTAAAGTATATTTATATAGCTAAATTACCATTGTATTTTAAACGCTATTTATGCAAACCACTTAAGAATAAAATTATATAATCATTTTAATACTTGCAACAAAATGTACTAAATTAATTGAAGAGACTTTAATCCATAGAAATGCAAAATTTGCACAGAACAAGCCTTGATAAAAATTAACTGGAAAAACATCTTTATGAAACACAAGGCTATCTCTTAATGAAAAATATTCATATTTTATTATTCAGCGAAGAAATTGTTTTGGTTTGAAGGTGCAGTCGGCGGTTCTGCAATTTTCTTTTGTGATTTGCTTAATTTTTACTTTGACGATTACCAGTTTTTTTAACTCTCTTCTACAATTGCAGTTGCTAATTGTTAGCATTAGCTAATTAAATTCGTTTTTTTCTCCTTAAATAAAGGAACGCAAAGAAAATCTTAATAATTAAAGTTCAAACGAATTTGCCTTAGAGAAAAGTTTAAATTAATAGGAGGAATAGTTCGGCAAGAATATTCATTTTGTCTACACAAAAAGTTTTATAATTTAGGGAAGATAACAGAAACTACGTCTGAAAATTACAGAGGTCGTAGAGAAAATCATTTACAAGAGAAAATTATTTATTAGCGTTTCATAATTACCAAGCTCTATAATTTGGTATATTATATTTTATTTTTATCTCCCTTTTTGTACATTAAACGTGTGATTATTAACAGTAAAACAGCCTCTACACTATCCTCGAAATGTTTTACGAAATATTTCTGGAAATATTTCGTATGTAAAACATTTTGCAAAACATTTCTGTAAATACTTTCAGAATTAAATTCAAATATAAACCCGTGTTATAAAAATTAGTTCCCAAGTTTCCCAAAATAGATCGAAACTTTACTACTACTTACTTTAAAAAAATTGGTCAAGTGCGAGTCGGACTCGCGCACGAACGGTTCCGTACCATTCATTATCTATACAATATTAGACACTATCTATACTAATATACAGGGTAGCCCATCGAAAACGTTCCGCAAGACATAACGGCCAGGATATTTTTTTTTTCAAAAAATCCAAAAACACGTCAATTTTGTTTGTGAGGGGAACAATTTTTGCCCCAAAAATGATTGCAAAATCTTCAACCAACTTTTTTCCAATGGGAAGGGGGGCAAGTGGCGACGCAATGAAAAGAGCTTTCCATTCTCGTCGGGGTTTCATTGGCTAATTTTCTTGTACTCAACGTACTATCCATGGCAACTTGGCCCAATACGAATACCTCCATAGCTTCATTTACTACAGGATTTTCCCTCTGCCTTTTTTTATTCATAACGGAACAAGTTTCGTGAAATTTTGCTACTAAATCGCGAACAATTTTGCAATAAAGGTGTTTGTCAGGATGGCGTTTATTGAATATCTGCGCAAACCGAGTTGTCCCCCTCACAAACAAAATCGACGTGTTTTTGGATTTACTGAAAAAAAAATTACCCTAGCCGTTATGCCTTGCGGAACGTTTTCGATGGACCACCCTGTATAAAATCCTTAAGTGACTGACATACTGATTAATCACGATCCTGCTCAAACCACTCAACGTAAGAAGCTCAATTTTGGCATACAGGTTGATTCTAGGGTGTAGAGATTCTTATGGAAAAAGGGATTTTTCGAAATTCCAGTTCCAAGAGGGCGAAACCACCCCTAAAATATTACAATATTTTTTATTTAAAAAAACGGTCAAGTTTCCCAAAAACGCTTAAACACATATATTTTATTTTGTTTTTTACATATTTTAAGATTTTTTAAAAATGTATACAGGCGGTTTCGAAAAATCTGGTCATTGATTAATCACGATTCTGCTTAAACTGCTTGATGTTTAAAGCTGATTTTTGGCAAACGGATTGACTGTGGGGTGTAGAGGTTCGATAAGGAGGAGTTTCTCCAATCTCAAATTCCAAGAGGGTGAAAACGCCCCTCAAATATAATTGTTATTTAAAAAACGGTTAGCCTTTCGGGAAAACGTTTGGACACGCATAATTTATTTTGTTTTTTACATATTTTAAATTTTTTTAAAAAATCATACAGGATGTCCCAAAAAGTTAGGTAATTGATTAACCACGATTCTCTGCTTAAACTGCTTGACGTAAAACGCTTATTTTTGACAAACGGATTTCTCGAAAGTCAGATTCCAACGAAATGAAACTACCCCTCAAATATTACCAAGTTATATAATAATATCGCCATATTGTTTTTTCTCATGCTGACATAAATGTGAGAAAATTTTATCCATCAGTTTGTATGTTAATGGAAATTCTTGCTTTGCTTTACCATCACCATTACAAATTAATTCGACGCGAACGAAGTAGCGGGTACACGGTAGTTACAGTACACGGTAAAAGTATTTTTTATCGACATCGGGGTCAATCAATAGTTTTTCCAATCAGCTTGATATATTGATGATGTCGGCATTAATCAATTAAGGCCGCTTAAACAAACATAACATATACAATTTTATATGTTAATTCATTTATAATAATAAAATTAAATAATAAACATTTTGTAATTATATTCCTGCAGATTGAATAAAAAGTTTTGTTCTTAAATGTCTTCTCTACATATTATAAACGCGTGTTCAAATATTAATCTTGTTGAATATATACATATATCAACATAAAACGAAATCTAATTAATGAAATATCATTGTAACAACAGCTGTTTTAGAAACGTCTGGGTTTACTTATTTCACTGAGATTTATAAAAAAAAGTCCTTTGCCTCGGGTACAGATACCGCCGCCTTTTGGAAATAGCTTAAAACTAAACAAAATTGAACGAGGCAACAGGAAACGCCAAAGAAAAACCCCTCCACGCCCTCCTCACGAGTAGTTTTAATACCTTCTTTTTTATTTTATTTTTAGATTCTGCGTAAAATTCTATATTTTTTATGTATTATGTTGTATACCTAAAATTAGTAGTTTTTAGTAAAATACCGCTGATTAAACTCGACCTAATTAAACTAGTGTCGACAACATGAGAGAAATAATTGTAGCTGGTTTTCGAAGTAGAACTCCACATATGCCTTTTAAATGAAAAGATCTTCTGAAAAGGGAATTATTTTACGCAGTGAACAGGAAGGGAAGTATTTCGAGCATATGATTTCATCTAGCTAATTTTTGTCACATTAATTCATTTTTGTCAAATTTAATTCTGTAATAATTAAATATGTTTTAAAAGTGTATCTTTTTATTACCGTTGAGTATTTTATTCTACATCTTTAATTTTTGTTAAATTAACAAAAGGTATATCACAGCCACCTAGATTTTTTTAAATAATAAAGCACTACTGACGCAAAATCATAAGAATTAAAATATTTTGGAAAATCTTTGTCTGAGGGGTAGGCAACCAAAATTAATTATTTTGAAGAGTTATGAATTTCCCAATGAATATCGAAATAATATACTGGGTGTTCCATTTATAATAAAGGAGTAACTTGCTATTAAAAGTGACAGCTGTTATTGAAATTTAAAATTTACTCTTCATTTTTACAAAATGTGAAATATGTCAACACTTTAGCATATGCTTCTTTAATAAAACACACCTTTATTATTTTCCTAGAAGCCGAAAATTAATTAATATTTAGGGCGTTCTATTAGAAAAAACACTTTGATGTGTAACTTTTTCTTGGAGACAGCCTGTATAACACTATATATTTTTATAAAATGCTTTCATTTAAGCTACATCCCATACAGCACATCAAATCACATTTACGATGTGTTTACATTATTAGATGTAGACACAGGGTGACACAATTCCCCCGATGTAAATATGCTACGTTTACACATTGTAGTTCAACACGTATGCACAAAGGTTAAACGTCCGCCTCACAATGTAGTCACAGTATAGCATTTACGTATACACAAAGTAAGGGATACACAGTGTGCCGTAGGATACACAGTGCTTGTGTATTACGTTTAAACTATGTTTACACATTGCAGTTGTGACTATCGCGTGTATACGTATGTATTTTGCTTCGTATATACATCTTGTGCTAGATAAAACTACTCCTTATGAACGAATTTAGAAAATAATACAAGTTTTGATGCCTAACTTTTCGTTATTTTTAAGAAATATTTATTCAATGATACCAATTATATCTTTTTAGAACGAAAATTAGGAAGGCAAAACTTTGTATTTTCCAAAAGTATCTCGATCGTAAGTTCAAGGGAAGTAGCCTTAAAATTGTTCCATTTTTGTTTTGTATTAAATGTACCATTTTTCTTCCATAAAATGCAAGTGGTTAAAAAATAAAATTCTTATATTTCTTTATATCATGGAACGCAATAGCGCAAATAACACAATAATAATAATTATTTACACTGCAGAAACCAGAAGTAAGAAAACACTGTAAAAGAACAGAATTTGTATCAAAATGTATTAAAAATATAAGTACCTAGTATAACAACATACTAAAATGGTAAACACTGGTATATCGCCACGATTTGGTGGACCTCGTTTAGTCATTTTTTTCTCATTTTTTCCCTCGAAGCAGTTGGTTTGGTTTGGTTTAGCATATTCATCGAGCACTCTGTTGGACTTTGTTGTATTTTATTTCCAGATTAACAATCTCACCCTTAAATTTTATATGAAACTGATTATTGAATATTAAACATATCTGTATATTGATGCATCAATAACTTACCGAATATCAGTGTAAGAAGTTCTTGGAGTGTTTAAATCTTTCTTTCTCTGGTCCATTTAGATTTTTATTATTTCCAAATTAAAAAAATATATTGCAGAGCTAACTCAGCTAACCTCATTATCATTATACAAGAATATTTGGAGTTTTCATTCATTGAGTCAAAATTTGGTAAATTGGGTATCGATTAAGGGAAGAATCGCTGCTATAATAATAATACTCTTAGGAAGGTGTAACAAAGTAATTAAAAACGTGTACTTACCTTAAAATCTCTTTTAAACTACACACAAACAGAACATTTATATAGAGCTTCCGAATGATAAAACAATAATGGCTGCTAACACATACCACTCCTAGAAAGGAGAAAGGAGAAAGGACACATAAGATACACTTGGTCGGTGTAGCTACGCTGAGGCTATCCGCGCATGCGCACACCTTCATTTCATGCTACAATGTAGACACAACAGTACACTATTACAAAGTGTCTATATAGATATTTATATTATGTGTATACGTCACATTTTTACAAAGTGTGTACTATAGGCACAACTATGATACGAAGTATCACACATACATATGACTTATACATTGTATCTCTCATATACCGACGTCAGATTTCATCATTTTAATAATTATTTGTCACGTTACAAAAAACTCTTTAGAATCTTGAGTGCATACGGTATACAACTAGTAAACACTGTATCACACAATTCTATCAATATAAACCTGCATGTATCTCATATGTATATGTTAGAACTAGATGCACACTTAGGTTCACTTTAACATATGTTGTTTCTCATGTGTCTCCCTTGTAGAAATGTAATTTCATTTGGACGTGCTATATGGGATATGCTCCCAAAATTTCATTTCCATATAAACTACCGTTCTTGTATGTGAGGCGCCACACTGTAGAAATACACATTTACAGTAGAACGAAGAGTGTAAAAAACAATATGAGGTATGCAATTTAAGTTGGGATTATTTTTGGTCTTATACCAGATATTTACAGACATCTAGTAGACACCAAAACACTTGCCTAGAACTTAAAATTAAAGAGCTTAAAGTGTTTATTGTAGTCGTGGCATTGAAGATTCATTATGTATCCTTGTAATGTGTGCTTACCTCAACGAGATCTTCTAAAGGTTTATTCAAACAGGTTATTCATTTCATCTCTTAGTCCCCTTCAGTCAACCTCTGTGACAGATTTTCATACATATCAGTCAGAAATCGATTCTAGTTTGTTGTGGTGGTTTTCCTGAAAATTAATTGATTATTAATTTGACAGACAACAAAATAAACTATGATTACTGTAGCAATTGATGAAGAAAATGATCCTGTATACGTAGTGGTAACGTGAATTAGAATTAGATGAGCATATTACTGAATTATTTTACAATTTGAGCTATATAATAGGTTAAGAAATAATGATGTATTCGATCAGTCTAAATCAACCAATTAGAGACACACATGGAGTTAAAATCATAGACTAAAAAAATATTTTTGTCAATGCTTCTACTAAAGAAACCGGAAGAACTGGATATGATAATACCGGGTGTTTCTCAAAAGTGGCTGATTCCTATAACTTTTATACTTTTTCAGGTAAAAAAACGATATTTGGTATATTAGTATATGAAATAAATTAGGATTGATTGACATATTCAGTTGTTTTCGGTCACTTCCTGTTTCACCAGAAATGACTATTACTTTTTATTTTTAAATGGCACCCAGGGATCGGAAATCTACATGTTACTCTTAAAAACTACATAAACTACATTACATGTAGTTAATGTAGTTTATGTAGAGGGTGTAGTTTATGTAACCTAAGTATGTAACTTTTAAATATCAAAGGTTTGAGGCAGGTTTGAGGTGAGGTTATAATAAATTGAAGCTAGAAAACACATAATGTGTCTAAATGTTTTGAGTTTTCGTATTTTATAATAATTTTAATATTTGTGTTATTCATTAAATTCTGTTCTTTTATGATTTGGTAATTCTTTAATTAAATAAAAAGCCTATGCATTACATGTTCCTATCAAAATAAACATTTTTATTTATAGTATGTTTTTTATATCATAATATCAATACGTAGTTCATTAACGTAGATTTCATGTAGTTAATGAACGGGAAAAGACGTAATTTTTGAAGAAAAACTACACGTAGTTAACCAGATAAATTACCTTTTAATTAACTACTTCCGAACCCTGATGGCACCCTCGGTATTTTTTTACTTTATTCGATAGAAAATGACACGCTGAATAGAATGACATATCATAATATGTCAGCTTTTAACATTCTCGCTCAAAAAAAAATCGTATTTTAAATTTCAATCTAGAGTGCCATGGCTGTGTTAAAAACATTACTTTTTAATCAAGGAGCCTTAAGGAAGCAAATAAATACCAAGGGCGTCATTTATAAATCAAAATTTGTATTATTTTCCTGTGGAACAGGAAGTGACCGAAAAGAATTGAATACGTCAATCAATACTAATTTATGTCATATACTAATACACCAAAATTCGTTTTTTTTATCTGGAAAAAAAAAGTTATAAGGGTGAGCCACTTTTGAGACGCACCCAGTATAGTATCCTACCACAGATTATACAGATTATAATCTTTGTTTTTTCTTTATTGTTTTTCGTGGTTCCAATTTTCGGAATCGGGCACTAGTTAGGTGACTAGTTTGCGCACATAGCACGCCCACTTATGGCCTCTAAAAATTGTGCACAGCGCCTGACCGGCACAGCTATTAAAGAGATATCGGAAGCGAATAGCGTCATTCAGTATTTACGCGTACCTTATCAACTATGGTTACGATATGCGCGAATTGCGCGAGTCAATTTTTAACGCAACACCCGCTAATAAACGTTACCGCCTGACGTAATTTGCGGATCAATTACGCCAGGCGCTCTTTCTAAATAACCTCTGATAACGTTTAAAAAATTGCTTAAATGGGCATGTGCGGGTATTTGACAACCGAGGCCAGCCGGCGAGATCTTTTATTATAGGTTATGTTTGAATTGTTTTGAATTTAGTTTTATTAGGTAGTTTGATATTTAATTAGCTGGGATTAGTTTGATTAAATAAATATGGCTCAAAATATGGATTACACCTCTTCCAATACTAAGAACCTATAAAGAGTCTTAGATTTACAGCAGATGACGACTTAGCCCTTCTAAGGGAATTTGTTGCTTGTTGCCTAAACCCACTGGCAGACGTTGAACAATAAGCACTGGAAATAAGCACTTCAGCCCTTTAGTTTTAAAATACCTAGTAAACAAAACAATTTCAAAGTTTTAAATTCAAAGTTAGGTTAAGTTTAAATAGCGGACGCGACGCGATCAAAATTCTTTCCGATCCGATAACATAAATGAAGAGAATTAATACTACTTCACGTAAAGGAAATAACATCTGGCTTTATTAACGTCCATGCACGCTATTGAGTTTAGCGATATCTCTCTATTACGCTGTTTGTTATTTTACGCGAGTTTATTTTTGCGCACAGGAAATTGACTCGTTTGCACATCGTCATAAAAAACAATTTTTCGACACGAATTAGGGTTAAGATTTTTATCTGTATACATATAGGATACCAAATCAGCAATCCCTACAAATGTGCCGATAATATAGTTTATATCCAAACTAATAAAAAAATTAACGAAAATGTTTATATTACAAATTATACATCAAACTAATTTATTAATTGATTAAAACATTTATTTTTTTTTTTTTTTTTTTTGTTTTATTTTTCGTTGGTTGTCGAGATCTCAAACTGGCCTACTTAACTTCCATATTAGGTTATATCACAACAAAAAACCCCGCCTAAAATAAATTGAAAAATATATAAATCACACCTGTATTACGCTTATTAAAGCTGACACACCTTTGCGAATAGTTTTCGGGAAAAATAAAACAAAAATTCGATTCATCGGAACGCTGAGGACTCTTCCAACTATGTGACAGTTGTTTAAAATTCATTACATAAATATAAATAAATATACACACACCGACTATGTTTTGGCCCTGTACCAACACACTCACAACTCGGGCACTTTAAATTTAAATCGCAATCTTTACCTCAAGAACATATTCCATTGAAAGTTTGACCGTCTAATATCCAGGTTAAAATAATTGCAAATTTTTGTTTTAAAGTGTATTAAGTAAACGTAAGTTTTTATGTATTTATTAATTTAAAATTACTTTGTGTTTTATATCTCTATTTTCTGTGCACGATAATATTTTTTAATGTAGAATGACAAGGAATGATGCGTTTTAAAATGTTGTTTTCATGTTTTGGATATTTTCCATACACAATCCAAAACTATAAAATATTAATATGTTTATTAAAGGGGTATTAAAAAATATGTTTGTAAATATTTGTAGATTTAAATGATATTTTCATTGCAAAATATATGCTTATTTTAGAATTTTAGGATTCTTTTATACTAGATTACAAAATTCTTTTTTCAAAAGCCTAGAGAATCACGAAATTAGTGGAATAAATTAGTGGTTTCAACTATTTCATATTTAAAAGTTTAAGGTCATTAGATTTAAGATCAAAAACTACTTCTCGCAAATTTTGAAGTATAATTATTGGCTAAATTTAAAAACTTTTTTACTACATTGAAAATTAGTACAACATTTTCGTCGTTCCACAATTCTTACACTGAAATTAGAGGAACAAACTTCAACGTTAATAATTAAAAACACAAATTTGTGTAAAAGTAAAAGTGTTTTGGTGTATTGTGGTGATTTAGTGTTTTATTTTTTTTTAGTGCAAATATTTTCAAGGGGCTGGTAAAATATCGATAAAGAAACATATTTCTAGCTAAAATTTGAGCGCCACTGGATCTTTTCTGGATTTTTTCTTATAAATTTAATCTACTACCTATGTTGCTAAATTATCAAAAAAAATTATGTTTTTAACCAAAAACTAAAAGAAATCCCAATAAATTTTCTAAAAAAATCCAAATTTTGAAAAAAATTTTTTGTGAAAAAATAAAAAATAACTTTATTTTACTTTAAAAATAATAATAATAAGCTCCCGTATATAGCGTTTAACGCCTTGGGAGTAACAAAGGTACAGCTTGCCATGCTAAGAACCGTTGGGTATACAAGGAAGATAATATTGCATTGCGCTTCAACCGCCTATTATTACCTGAAGATTGTGAATCCCAAGTACTCATTTAAGGCTAGGTCGACCTAGGTACCCAAACGCTATTTTTATTTTAATAAAAAAATCATTTGATGAAATCGAGTGTAGGATTCAGACACAACCTTGAGATTGGTAGACGAGAGCATGTACTTCTACGCCACCGGACACCTACTTTAAAATTAAAAAAAATTTGGTTAAGTTCTGAGAACCACTGGATCTTTTCTTGGGTTTCTTTCTTGTAAATTTAATCTACTATTTGTGTTGTGCCATTTTATGTTTTTCAACTAAAAATTTAAAATATTTCCAAATCTGTTGTCGAAAAAAAACCTCATAAACGTGTTTCTGGGATCAAAATATACTACCTCTAAAATGTTGCACTTATTTAAGGCTCATCCTGTATTTATACAGGGTGTCCCAAAAATAAGTGTCAAATATTACAAGGGAGTGAATCTGACCAAAAGAAATATTTTCTCTTGCCGTTTTCAAATAAGTCCAAAAATAACCAGTTATTTTATTTTGAAAATTTCCCAAAAGATCATTTTGCATAACATTTGAGAACCACTGGATATTTCTGGATTTTCTTTCATGTAAATTTAGCTACTACCTATGTTGCCATATTATCAAAGTATGTTTTTAAGTTAAAATTAAAAAAAAAAATTCAGAAATATTTTTTAAAAATACCTAAAAAAAATAAAAAAAAAAAAAAAAAAAATATTTACTTATTTTAAAAAATACACTTATTGCAGGACCCTGTATAATACAAAAGTGTAAAAATATTAATATATTTAGTATCCAGTATTAAAATAAATTGGTAAATATTTGTAAGATAGTAAAAAGTATCGTTTCTATTGCAATTTATGCTTATTTTTAGAGAAATTTGCGGTCTTTTTACCCAGATTAGGTGGTTTAAGTTATAAGTTATTAGTCAATAGAAATTAAAAAGCAATGTATCATCCAGAACTGTCAAAAAGTTTCCCGCTTCTAAATATAAACCTAATATAACATTAACAACTTCTGAACATTTTAAAGTGAGAAAAAAACAGGCTGGGTTTTACCTTTTTCGGCACATATGCTGGTTGATTTTTTCTAATCTAATAAAGTTTGATGGATTATTCCGATATGTCAATAAAAATGACATCCAGAAAATATATTACATCTGTGGAGAAAGTAATGAACCAACACACTTATGTACATTTTATTTTGTTGTTAAATATTTTTATATATTATTTGGTTTATATCTTAAAACGAGGAATTAGGTATACTAAGAAGTTTTGCTGTTAAATGTTCCCTCAACTGTAGTAAATACATTATTTAAACTTAGTTTCAAAAAGGCGATAAGTGTCATTCGATAGTTTAAATTACATTTTATTGATGGACTCGGATACACCAAATATACAGGAGTCTTAAATAAATACAAAATATTTTTAGGGGTGATATATCTCAAACCTATGAACTCGTCTGTTTTTTGTAAAAATGTTAAAATCATACATTTTCTGTAATGTGTGTCAATTCCTGTATATTTTAGAAAACTTTTTAAGTGCCTGTTCACCGCAAATTTTCCAACGGTATAATTTCTTAATCTTGGATAGTACCATGGTTACAACACTAAAAAGGATGCAAATACAGAAAAAATTCGGTGACTAAAACTTTTTAAAAATAAATATATTTTTTTAATTTTAAACTCTAATTACTCGGTTATTTTGGACTTATTTGAAAAGCGGTAAAGAGAAAATATGTCTCTTTTATCTACCAGCCCTGAAAATATTTGCACTTATTTAAGACGCACCCTGTATAATTTTTATGAACGGAATATTAAAAATAATAACCATTAATAAAACGATAGAATTATACAATTATTTTTATGTAATATATGATATTATGAAACTATGACCACATATAACTATGTCTGAAGCTAACTATATCTGAAGAGACATATTCAAATGTTTCACCCGGAGTGCTAAAAACAAGTTATACTACACATCACAGATCATATATTTTGGCTTTATTTAAACTACTTTAAGAACTGAGATATAGAAGAGAACATATATGATTTTTATAATGTTTTAGACGTCTAATCATTGAATTGATAATTATTATATATAGTAACTAATATAAAGACCTATTTTTTTAAGTAATTTTATTGTTTCTAAATTTTTAGAAAAATGCCTTTAGCCCTAAAATACGACCCTGTATTCGGTAGAGACTACTCTTATCTCGACGAGTACCGATACACACCTGACTATAGAGTACGAAAACCACTCGACTATTATTTTAATTGGCCATGGAGCTATCGCTATTGGTTCCAAAACCAGAGAGACCGCAGGCAATTGTATAAGCTTCTTCGTGTGAGTATTTTTAAAACAAATATGAACTAAGATTATGCCTCAATAAATTTTGATAAGTAATATTTTTAATTATAAAATATATTCTCAAATAAACTTATAATTTTTTAAAGAATTATAAAATGTGCATCATATCTCAAAAAATTGTGACCTTTTTATTTATATTTTCGTATGATCTTTTTAAAGAATATCGCAATAATATTTTAAAACAGAAATTCATTTGCACAATATATTAAACATATCACAATAAAAATATAATTAATTTAAAGCAGAATAATACTGATTGTACTAGTAACCAGAAAAAATAATTCTATATTTATGAAAATTTTGAAAGAAAGACATAATGAAAACAGGCACTTAAAGAAACTTATAATTATTATTTTAATTATATATTTATCTGCAATATACTTCTGAAGTAATTCATTTCTCTCTACTAAAACAGAAAAAAAATAGATTTAGTTCAACAGGAGATCTTTTGAACTTTAGTCCATAGATCTTCAGTTGAATTAAAGCTAATATTTTCTGTTTTATATCTAAAATTAAAATCATGTAGTAATTTAAAATCACTTGCCTCTATAGTCCATTTTCATTTAAACAATAAAATAAATACAAATACAATTTTATTAAATTTTCATTGAATATATTTTACGCTAGAATTCTAATTCTTCAGTTTCAAACTTTAAGAAAGATAACTTTCTAATATATTTTCAATACTCCTATGTATTTATCCAACTTTTTTGAGGTAACATTTTTTAAATATTAAGTTTTTAAGTAAATACAAAACGCATATTCAATATATTTTTTTGTTTTTTTAGCTGAGGGAACTCACATACATTGCCCAATAAGCCAACGAAATAAATTCTCAAGAAATTTGATTAAATTATTATTAATGCAATATAAATAAAATATATTTTTGTTATTTTTCTCTAATAAATAAAATAATAATTAATGTTGTTTATAATTTTTTCGATTTTTTCATGGCCAAATAAAATATATGGTTAAGTAAGTACCTTATCATATAATTAATAAAACACTTATTATATAGGGTTGTCCCAGTCGTATTCGGGAAACTTCGACAGTATATTCTGTAAAACAGTCTGACAGTTAAAAAGTTTATGTAAATTTTTGTCCTAGAATGCTTGGTTTCAGAGATACTGACTGCAGAAATTTTATTTTTATTTCGATTTTTTCCAAATAATTTCTGAAATAACGTAGATATATGGATGAACATTGCTGTCTGGGCGTTTTTTGACGTTAGAAATTTAATTTAGATGTCAATGGGACTCTAATTGAATTTTTTCTAGAATAAATTATGATAAAATAGTTTCTGTTGAAACTTCAAAACAAAAACATTTCCAAATTAACTGACAGTGATTTTTACTAAGAGATCTTTTTTAGATCAAAAAATGGCAAAACTGTATATTTTTTCACTTAGTAGTGTAATACAGGGACGAACAAGAAGTTATTACTTTTCAGAACATTTAAAAATACGTATTATTGATACCAATTAAACTTTTAGTTACGTAATCGAGGGCGCAATTTTTAAATTCATTGTAGCCAACTATGGATTACTGGGGGCCGGACTGACGAACTGGAACTTAAATTCCCTGCTGGGGATTGAGGTGGTAGTTCTGCTCTAAAAAATTTCAAGTTTCTACATTTATTTATTTATTTCCTAACATTGTCATTCGTTTGGTTAGGTTAGGTTAGGGTTTTTGGTTTAAATGAGTTGTTATACTTAGTTTAAAAATGTTTACCAGTAGTCCTTGCAGTCGAACATTGTTCTTTTTAGAACCTCTTTTAGTCCGAAGTATTGTATTGTATTTTGTATTTGACTAAGAGTGGGTCCCATAGGGGCCGCGAGGGCCTATTGTGGCTCAGTTTCTACAAGCTCTAATTTATAAGAGCGTCAAAGTTCATCCTCAAGACTCAGCCTCTTCATAGAGGCCGTTATGTCAGAGGGCGATATGTCTCCTAGGTCTGATAGGTCTAGCATGGGTTTGCCAAATATCTCAAACCTTGTCCTGCTCCCAGCGGGGCAGGTACACATAACGTGCTTCATTGTTTCATCATCTTCCATACAGAGTCGGCATTCGGCGTCTTCCACCAGTCCCGTCTTCTGTAGGTGAGATCTCAGCCGGCAGTGGCCCGTGTACACTGCAGTGAGCACAAGCGTTCCATTCCTACCGGCCTTTAGGAGTTCTCCTGTTCTATGTTTGGATGGCCCTGTTAGGATTTTCTTGGCATGCTCCATTCCGGGACTGTCATCCAGTCCCGGAACGTCGCACCCGTAACCCATTCACAGAGCCTGTGACTTGCGAGATTTTTAGGAACGCTAAGTGTCGGTTCTGGGCCCACGAATGGCGAGCCTGCACCAATTTTGGCGAGGGAATCAGCACGTTCATTTCCCTCTAGGCCGACATGTCCCGGTATCCATATTAGCGACACTTTATTCCTATCTCCCAGTATATTGAGTAGTTTCTTACAATGAAGAATCGTCATAGACGTGCTTTTCGTTGCCTCAAGTGCTTTCAGCGCGGCTTGACTATCGGAAAATATGCATATTGTTTTCCCGGTGTATTGCTGTTCTACCAGCAGTTGCACACAGGTTTCAATAGCATATAGCTCAGCTTGGAAAATCGTGGTGTGTTTTCCAAGACTGTGGTAGATCTCAGTCTTTGGACTGCTGCAGTAAATTTCTGCGCCAGATCCTTTTTCGTTTTTGGATCCGTCCGTGTACCAACACATTTCCGCATGTAATAAACCGTTTCCCGGCTTATCCCACTCGTTCCTATTCGGAAACAGGACGTTGTAGGTGCGCGTCAAGAGTTGGACTGGTGGTGTGAGATCCGAGACCATTCCCAGAATCCCATCCGACTGTAGTTCTTCTACTAGCCGGTTTTGTATGAACATGATTGTTCCTTGGCTTCCTCGTGCTATACTTAGAAACCTATATGTAGCCCATCTCGCCTCTCTTTCCAAAAGAATTTGAAGAGGAGGTAGATCGAGTAGGGTTTCCATAGCCTTTGACGGCGTGGAATGGAAGGCACCAGTCACCGCTAAGCATGCTTGTCGTTGTAGTTCGACAATTTATTCTTTGCCGTTGTTTGGTTGGCTTTCTGCCACCAGGCAACTGCGCCATACGTGATAATAGGTCTGATGGCCGTCACGTATAGCCAGTACATATTTTTGGGGTTTAATCCCCAGTTTCTACCACAAATTCGGCGGCATGCCCATAGAGCATAGCAAGCCTTTTTTGATGTTTTTTCCAGATGAGAGGTCCAGCTAAGTTTTTTGTCCAGGTTTAATCCTAGATACTTAACTTCCTCCGCAAACGGAATTGTCTCACCAAGAAGAATGGGCGGTTTCAGTTTGTCTGTTTTCCTTCTTCTGGTGAATGGTATGATCATGGTTTTCTGTGGGTTTACACTTAATTGTTCCAGTGTGCACCAGCCGTGAATTGCATCTAGGATTTCCTGTATTTTTGAGGAGATGTCCTCCTCTTTGTGTCCTTTTACTAGGATCACCAGGTCGTCCGCATATGCCTGTGCTTGAACCTCGTAGTCCGAAGTATACAAGATAGCTTAATAGCCGTAGAAAACTCAACTTTATTAGAATATTTTGAATGGGAAAACGGTAGTAATGACTTTTATGTGCCTTAAGTGCTGTTAAGAAGGTGAGTTTTGTTGATGTAAATAATAACTGTTTATATATTTATAATTCATTTATTTTTGTTTCCTAAAATATTTCGATTTAAAGAAAATATATTAAAGTGGGCAACGCTGTGCTGGTCAAAAAATAGGCGTTACTCAGAAATTATTTAGAAACAAACGAAATAAAAATGAAACGTCTACACCCTGTATCTTCAAAAGGGAGCAATTTAGGACATAATTTTATACAAACTTTTTGACTTATTTTTATCTGCAGAATACATTGCTGCAGTTATTCGATTATAATTCTTACCACCTTGTATATTAAAGTATTCTTCCTTTATAAAAAATAATTCAATCGAAACAGATATTTTAAAAATAGAAACAAAACAGAAAAATTAATCAAACTATCCTGTGACAAATGTGTTATTATAATGCCCAGAATTTTTTGAATAATAAGTAAACGTATCCTGGCACTATTCCAAAACAAAGCGAACATTGAGAAAATTTAAGCGAAACTCGAAAACATTCATTTGGTTTGTTCGGTGGTGTGCGGTTATTCAACAGACACAAAAAGTAAGTACAACCTTTTTTTTTTAATTATTTAACTTGTTTAGAAAGCCAATTTAATCATACGTCTTTAATTAAAACATTTCTCCAGGATTTTCAAGTTTAAACTCCAAATATAATTACTAATCCGTGTTTAATTAACTAGTTAAAATATTAAAATTAATGTTTAAGAAAGCTTTTTAAACTCTCTATTAGCCAATTAAATATTTCCCGAAATAAATTAGTTTTAATTAAAACAGTTATTTCATAAAAATAAACTTTATAAAATGTTAGTGAGTAATGTGAGCTGTGTTTATTTTTTAGCAATGCTTAAAGCCAGGTACAACCCCGTGTATGGAAACGAATATTACTTGGGGGATACTAGATCACATACCTGACTATAGAATCCATAGGTCTTCCATTTCTACGATTTCTGGCCTTACAGACTAAAAAATCACTTACAGAATAGACCATTCAGAAGATGGCTGACCACTCCAAGTTTAGTAAGTATACAATTATTCTTATTAGTTCTTTTTTTTTTATTCAGGGTGAGTCTTAAATAAGTGCAAATATTTTTAGAGGTATTATATTTCGACTCCAGAAACACGATTATAAGTTTTTTTTTTCGCGAAAAAAAAAATTGGAATTTTTGAAAAAAATTTGGATTTTTTTTTTAATTTTCAATTAAAAAACATACTTTCTTGATAATATGGTAACATAGATAGTAGATTAAATTTACAAGAAAGAAAATCCAGAACAGATCTAGTGGTTCTCAAAATTTAAGCAAAAAAATATTTTTTTGGAAATTTTCGAAGTAATATAACTCGGTTATTTTGGATTTATTTGAAAAACGGTAATGAAAAGATAGGTTTCTTTTATCGTGATCTACCAGCCCTAAAAATATCTGCACTAATTCAAAACTCACCCTGTATAAGCGAACTTTATTGTATATACAGTTTATACTTTTTGTATATAAGTTTAACTTTTTATTTAAATTTTTTTAGCATATTACTTTAGTATTTTAATTCAATTTTTTTTTAATAAAAGTTTTAATAAATATGAATCTAAAATAATAATTGTATTAAAAATAATTTTTAAAATAACAAAAAAAACATATTTTGCATTTAATTTTATCAAGTTATAATTTGTTTTTATTACTTTATTAAAACAAATTATAAATAAAATAAATTGTTTATACTGTAAAAATTTCATCACACAACGTGATATTTATTTTTATTACTTGCAATTTGGAAGACCAAAAATATTCAATTTAAAACAGTTCTATATTTATTTGCTCAACAAATAAACAATGTAAATAACATTTAATTTATTTTCTATCAATAAAATGTTAATCTATTAGCTTTAATAAATCCAGTAAAAAAAATAACAAATATTCAATATGTTACAGCAATTAAGAAATAATAAAATAAAAAAGAATATTTTTTTATGTTTGAACACTTTATTGTATAATTAAAAAGTATAAATAGAACAATCTAAATTTAGTAGGTAACTATTTATTTATAACAATTGCTAAATTGTTATAAATTACCTTTCGATTATTCTGTTTAATTCATTGTCTTTTTTTGTTACAGTTTAGACAAAACTTATATTCGAACGAAAGCAGTTTAGTGACATCGAGTTCCAGCGTATCCAGATACAGCTCTTATTAGACATTATA